ATCCATGATTGTCAGGAACGAAGATTTTTTGAAAACACTAAGTTAAACTTTTTTTTATATGTATTTATTAAATTAATTTTAGCATGCTTGTTAGATAAATTATTTTAAATTCAGTCTTAAAATATATTATTAAAATGTCAGAGGGCTCAGAACTAAAACAGACATTTTGTATCTCGCTGTGCTATTAAATAGTTATGACATTTTGGTGTTGACCGAGTCATGGCTTAATGACACTGTTTTTGATAGGGAATGTTTCGATGAGCGATATGATGTCTTTAGAAGAGATAGGTACACTACATGCAGTAAGCAAAAGGACGGCGGAGGTGTCATAGTGGCTGTTCTCAAAAAATTCAATGCTTTGCGTAAATTGGAATGGGAATCTTACAATAAGGACTTATGGGTCACACTAAAGGTCTCGAACAAAAATCTCGCCATTTGTGCTGTTTATGTGCCTCTTCCACCATTGATTGCTGGCTTAGAATCATTGCTTGATAACATCTCAGAAGTCATTCACAATAAGTTGCCTAGTGACACCTCTACTCTAGTATTGGGAGATTTTAATCTTGGTGACATTTCGTGGTCCACCAATCTTGACACTAATAGTATTTTTCTGTCGTCGTTACCATCAGGCAGCTCTATTAATAATACATTGATTGATTCATTGGCATACAACAACCTTTTTCAACGCAACCTGGTACGCAATACTGGCAATAGAATTTTGGACCTTGTTTTGTCTAATACGCCAGATAGTGTTGTTGTGAATGAGGCTGAACAGTCCCTTGTAAATGTTGATCCTTTCCATCCGCCTTTGCTTATAGTTTTAAGAATATCATATTCCAAGAATATTAAACCTAAGTGGTCCACTTATTTGAATTTTATGGCGTGTGATTACAATTCTGTGCGAAGTGATCTCATTAAGGTAGATTGGTCTCAATTAAGTAGTGCTGCATTGAATATTGATGAAACGGCTGATCTATTCTATGAGACACTTTTTCAAGTAATCCGAAAACATACCCCATCCAGCTTTACCCGTGACAGTACATACCCAGTGTGGTACTCTAGACACTGATTAAGACATAAAAGAAAAAGCGAAATATCATAAAAAATTCAAAAAATATTGCAACCCATTGGATCAAGTAACATTCAGTATGTTGAGAACGAGATGTGACAATATGATAAAAGAATGTTACAAAATCTTCAAAAAAAAGCCTTGGATCACTTACAAGCTAACCCGAAATATTTCTGGAAGTTTTGTAAAGGTCGTAAATCCAATGAGTCCACCATCCCCCACGAGATGTATCTGGATAATTCCTATGTCACGGGTGGCCAAAATATATGTAACCTTTTTTCTAAACATTTTCAATCCGTTTATAGTGATTCCAATCCGCCAATTTTTGTAAGGGTAAAGTCAATGCTTATCAGCACAGTTCTCCTCTCAGTAATGTTGTGGTTTCTGAGGATGAGGTGCTCAAGCTTCTTGAATGTCTTGACTGTAACAAGGGGCCCGGACCCGATTTGATACCAGCTCACTTTTTTAAAAGCTGTGCTGAAGTTTCGTACAGACCACTTTGCATTATCTACAATAAGTACTTGCGACTTAGTATTTTTCCAAGCAAGTGGAATACAGCACACATCACACCTATTCACAAATCGGGTGGTTCGCAGGATGTTGCCAACTATAGACCAATCTCAATTTTATCTACGGCTGGCAAAATTTTGGAATCGCTCATGCAAAAAAAATGTACTTCCATATCAAAAACTTAATTAACAAAAACCAGCACGGATTTTTGCCACATAGATCAACTTCCTCGAATCTGGTGGCATATGTATCAGATTTATCAGATATTCTGGATGGGGGCGGTGAGGTGCATCCAGTGTACACTGACTTTAAAAAGGCGTTTGACCTCGTGCATCATGATGTTCTTCTTGACAAGATGGAACAGATGGGAATTCACGGTTCGCTGTTAAGATGGTGTGAATCTTACCTACGCAGTAGATCTCAGCTGGTTACGGTTCGTGGCTTTAGGTCCGAAGTGATAGCAGTGCCATCCGGTGTGCCCCAGGGCTCCCATCTAGGTCCCCTATTTTTTCTGATGTTCGTCAACGACATTGCTTTTTCATTGCATTCTAAATTCAAAATGTATGCTGATGACCTGAAGCTTTACAGAGCCATTGACTCGCCTGGTGATACCCAGTTACTTCAGGACGATCTTGACAGAGTCCATCTGTGGTGTTGTAATAATGCTATGATGCTAAACACAAATAAATGCCAACACATTAAGTTTACCAGGCGCCGGAGGCCTTCAGCAGCCACTTATTTTATTAACCATATACCTTTAACGGAGGTTACTTGCATTCGGGACTTGGGAGTCGTCATGGACGCTACCTTAAGTTTTCGTCATCATGTAGACTTAATTACCAGTAAAGCTTCAAGGTTGACTGGTTTTGTATCCAGACAAATGAAAATTTTTAACGAACCCACAATATCCATTTTAATATACAACAGCTTAATACGAAGTATTATGGAATACTTTTCCACTGTCTGGAACCTAGGATACCAGGTTCATTCTGATAGAATTGAACGTATTCAAAAACGTTTTCTCTATCATCTAACGTTTAATAATTTAAAGTCTAAACAGCTTTTCTCTTATGAGTCGCGTCTCTCTTACTTTAAAATGTCCTCACTCCAAAAGCGTCGAAAAGCCCTTGATTTGATGTTTTTTACAAACTTATTCATGGTATTATAGACGCACCTCATATCCTTGAGAGTTTGCGCTTGTCAGTCCACCGTCCCGGCAGCCGCCTACATAATCGTAAAACTTTCTCGCTTCCTAATTGTAAGACGAATCTTGGTCAACACTGTCCACTTTATAGTATGTGCTCCTCGTACAATGCTGTCAGATTTGATTTTGACATATTCTTTGGTTCTGAGGCCTCAGCTAGGAACTCAATTAGAAATTGCCTTAAAAACTAAGTGCACTATGTGTTTTTGTTATTTTGTTTTCTTCAGAGACAAGTGTGTAATCACTGTAATTTAATTAATATTATTATTTAAGCATTTATTTTCTCAATTCGCATGTTGTGTTCACGTCTAGTAGGGTACATTCTTCTTGTAACATAATATCAACCAAACACTTTTATCTGAAATTTGAATTGTATCCAGTTTCGTGAACCGAATTTAAAAAAAAGTACTCTATTGCTCATTCGTAATGCAGATTCCCCTGAGAAGAATGAGCAAGAAACTCTGAGGGTTATTCTTTGTAAATATGCATTTGAATACATTTATCAATACTATATTTAATTTAAAATTAAGGTCATAACATTTTGCTTAACTGGTGAAAATGAAAGAGATTTTATTTTAAGTCAAATGACAATAAAAAAGTACATTAAAAAAGTGACTATATAGCGATTTAGTTTTTGTAAATTATATTTTTAATTGTTAAATTTTAAAATATGCCTTAAACACACAAACAAAAATAATAAATTAAACAATGTGAAAACATCACACGAAAATGTTACAATTACAAATCTTATTTTATGTATTCCCATAAATTTGGAATTTAATGTAAAGGAAGATAAAGAGTTTTTTGTTCCAGCCTTGCAAAAAGCATTTGTGTTTTACTTACATATGGAGATGTATACAGATACCTATGTACGTAGGGCGCACTATAAGTTTCCGGAACTGGCCACTTACATAAACAATATTTAAAAGCAATTACAACATTTGAAAATAGAATTTCTTGGCGGTAGAATACAGTTTGTTTCATCTGACAGTCACTTGTTTTTACATTGTGGCGTCATTTTAGAAATTGGTTGTCTATACCACCGTGGATTTAACTCGTGAAAATTTTCGTAGTATGATTTTCAACGACTTTAAGTGTAATTTACCAGCTCAGCGGCTTCAAACTGCTTTTGGCGATGAAACACCATGCAAAACGACTATTTATAGCTAGTTTGCAGAATTCAAACGCGGTCGTGTGAATCTCAGTGACGAATTTCGTGTCAGAATTCAAACGCGGTCGCCCGTTCACTGCTGTGATCAACAAAAATATCGATGCTGTGCGCTGTATGATCAAAACAGACAGGCATGTGACATACCATGAGATTCGGGCATCTTTAGGTATAGGAATGAGTCAAATACAATCAAAACTACACAAACAATTGGATGTGAAAAAGCTGGGCTCTCGGTGGATCCCACAATTTGACTGAGGGTCAAAAAAGGATCGCGTGACTTGGTGCAATGCCATGCTTACCAGATCCAGAGAAGGGGCATCAAATTTCAAATTTTGGTTGGTTGGGACATAGTAGGTGGAGAAACATGGATTTATAGTTACGATCCCAAAACAAAGCAGCAATCGAGCATATGGGCCTTTCGAGATGAGCCGAAATCAACCAAATTGGCGCGCATGCAAAGTGCCTCTAAGCGGATGATTGCTTCTTTTTTTAAAAACACTGGACACGTGGCTACTGTTGCTTTAGAGAATCGTCGTACCGTGAATAGTGATTGGTACACGACCATTTGTTTGCCGGAATTTATTGACAAACTCCGTAAAATAACCGTAAACGCGTATCATCGTATCATCTTGCACCACGATTATGAAAGTTCATACGTTTCAGAGATTGTCACGGAGGAGTGGCATAAATATTTTCAAAATTGGTTCAGTAGTATGAAAAAGTGCGTTAACGCTAACGGAGAATATTTAGAGAAACAATAAATTCGTTTCTGACCATTTATAGTATTTTTTTCTTATTCATTCTGGAAACTTATAGTACTCCTCACGTATGTATTTTGCAATGTTATTTTTGTAGAAAGAAAATGGTGTAATCCGCAATGGGTACCCGAATAGGATACCTTTTATGGATTACACCTTGTCATTCGCAAAAAAGAAAAATGATTCGTACCTTTTCCGATAATTCTATTTACAAACGAACTGTATTGTCCCGCAGGGCCTGGACTGCCGGAAAGAAGAACACTCTGTATATGCATTGAGATGAAAAAGGACATCCGCTCTGTAAGGTATAAAAATCTTTTTACTACACCGTTGCAATATGTAATGTGAAAAAATATACGACGTATTACGACTTATTATATAGGTTCATATTGTGTTGAAGGAATCAGGGGGCGAATGGCTTTGTGGTTTGGCGCTGTCTTCGGTACAAAACAATAACCTCTTAATTTATGAGGCATCATACGATGAAAATGGTAGGTAGGGTAATATTAAAAAGCGACAAACACAATTTATAACTAGAAAGAACATCGTAAGTTGTATTGTCTCTGAAATACGAAGAACTCTCAACCATATGGTATAGTTTTTGTTACTGTATGGTAAAACTTGTAATTTTTTTTAACTACGGATTTAGCCACTATTAAACGAAATGGGAGACAATTTTCAACAAAGAATCTTAACAAGGCACCAAGTCTGCTAATATCAAATCATCTCACTTGTGTGTCCATAGGGTCTATTCCACTAGTCCCTACTAGCTTTCATCCCTGGTGGGGACAAGTGGACTTTTTTGCACTCTTCCCTACCACATCGTCACTGGTTGGGATAAGTGGAAGAGTGTCGATGACAGGATTGTGTACAATATTGCAATATATTTAATAAAATTGCAATATAATCTCAGTGAAGTCTCATTACAATTAGTAGTTTCAAGAAATCATCGAATCGCCCAAGTCACTATGAAATTTAAAGAAAGCGTGCAAAATATGAAACCTATAAATTTATATAAATGAAAGCAAGCTTTGTTATTTACAGCTCAAGTTGGGCGAGTAGGGCGCCCGTCACCGGCGAAGGAGACTTATTGGCGCGGATTGCGGGTAAGCTCACCATAATTTAAATTGATGAATATGGACGAATTCTCTTTTAAATAATAACCATTGTCTCCGTCACTATTAGAATTACTACATTACATTATTGCACCTAGTATGGTTGTATAAGAAATTGGTAGGTCAATGATAAGAAATGACAAAAGAGAAAAAGATATGCTGTAACAAATAATAAAATGACATAAAAAAGGTGCAATTATTATAAAACACTCCCTAAAAAATTATGTATTTATAAACACTATAGGTACTCACCAAAAGGCCTGTACTACTGTATAATTTTAATAGTAATCGATGTGAAACTTTTACTAAGGAAATGTAGATAATTTGTGATATATACGTCTTCTCGTTTCAAGAATTTTTCTGGCGAAATCGCCATTTTTTTGTATAATTTTTATAATAATACTAAAGTACCGTACATAGTTATTTTTACTTGACATTGGCAAAATCATTGATTATTTCGATGGGGCCATAACATTTAAAAGAAGAAGAAGATAGGAGTAAAGACGAATCAACCAAACGTAAGAATATTGAACGAAAAGGGAATTCGGGAACGATTCAAAATTAAAAAAAAACATGTGGCCAGAAACCAGAAAAGAGGATGAAGAGGTGAGATGAAGGAGGTTAGCGTCGTCACATGGTGACTAGGAATCGACCACTCATCCAGTATGCTTTATGACTGCATATTTACTGTACTGCTACTTCAGCATCAAGTATTGCGACTATTGCAAAATACACGTTTACGCCGATACGCGAGGTGACGCAAGTCGACAAGTGGGTCCAACCCTAATATGGTCCTATTGCTAAAAAGACTACCACATTTCACTAATGAGTATTACAGGTTCGGGATATTAAATGTGAATAATGTCGTATCATAGTTTTAGGTTGAGTTAGACTAAGACCTTGGAGGTCGAATATCTATTCTAGTTAGATCGATTCATAAATATTTGTTAAAAACTACATACTAGTTTACCAGTTTTACTACAGTATTGTTCGTATCTCTGGGCCGGAGAATGCGAATACCAGCTTAATCGACTTGACTCCATCCAATGTAGGACTGTTCGTGTGGTCGACGAGCCCAGTGTCACATACGGTTTGGGGTCCCTTAGTCTACGAAGAGACATGAGCTCTCTGTATATGTTCTGTGTATAACGGGAACTACTCAGAGAAATATTTTCACATTTCCAGCATATCACGACCCGCTAATGGAATCCAGCGGCATATCCTTTATGTCTGTCATATTAAGATCACGTTTGTTCCTTAATCGAACCTGCAAGATTTGGAGTGTATTCCCTCTTTCTCTATCCGCTCACGCGATACATGCAGCCGTAGACGCATTGGTATGCGTCTACGGCTGCAACTAGGCGACTACTACGGCGACTAGGCGTGGTCACCTAGAGGTGCCGGCGATGATTTTATCCGATTTATCGGATATCGAAGTTATATCAGGTAAAAGTACTAATATTAATTGCTATTTCGGTAACTACTCTAGCAAACCATAAAGTTTTTAATGCCTGGGTCTGTCATTTAAAAAAATTAAACAACTGATGGATTTATTCCAATGCCGTAATACTTATATTAAAAAAAAAATACGTCACGACAATCGTGTGTCTTATTGTTTGGGCTGGTGATTTCGGTGTTTACTTATGAAAACATACCGTAAGTAGCGTTTTTTAAGTTTACCCTGAATATAAATGTTTATAAACTATACTTTAAGGAGTAATTTCATGGTAAACGTTAGAACCACACAAACGGAATATTATCATATTTATCCAAGTACACCAAAAATTTCATTAGTGCTTTTTAAGTGCAGGATTTGCGGTGTATTACTGCATTTTATTTGAGACGTTTTTGTTGGTAGTACGGAGGGTGTTTATTTAGCAATGCAGAATAATAATTTTTATTTATAAAAACTTGTATTTAAACTGAATGCTTTTCTAATTTGAGAAACCAAATAGCCGCCATTTTGCGGTAGGAAGAGCGCATCGCGTAAGCGGCTAGTGTTTTCTTTGCGCTATGACCTGGGGTCCTTTAAAATACGAGTAAACAGGGCTCTCAGAATGGCAAAGCATAGGGCGCTCCTTTGGTGTTGCAAATGTCTACGGGCGACGATGACCATATGTCAATAAGTAAGTAGAAAAAGTTTGAAACCTTATGATTAAAAGTAGTACATTTGTCCATGACTGAGACTGAGACCTGGAAGCTCATACAAGAGTGTTGTCTTTATACCTACCATTATTGACTTGTGTTATTTTGACCAATTATGTATCATTTGTTGTTATATCGATTGAACCACGTCCAGACGCTCACGTAGAAAACTGTGTACACAAATGAGATTTAAACAGAGAGTGCCGGTGCGTGCAGTGTTCGGCATCAAACTTTTCGAGACACCTTAGAATGAGGACGGAATACCGAAAACAGAAACCGAACTATTTCAAGTTCGAGACGTAGGGATGGGATACCAGAGCTCAATGTCGTAGGTAGGGTAGGACATATTTGGTAATCAATTGAAATAACAAGTAGAATTTGTATTTTACAATGTAGAAAAACCGATTGTATGCGTGTCGAAATACGTCAAAACTGTATCGTACGTTTAACTTGATTATTTTTAGTAAAAGTACCTATCTATACAACGGAAAAAAGTACATTTTGTAAAAAAATTAAAAACCGTTTTTTAAACACCTGAAAAATATATGCTACCTCGATTTCACGCCGATCACACCACCGCTACCGGTAGAAAAACTATCAGTCGCCGCGGCTAACGTTTTAACGATCCACACAATCTCTAGTAGGGTGACAAACAAATGGTGGGCAAGAAGCGGTTACAGAAGCGTGGAACGTCATGCAGAGTAGATGGATGACACTAGCGCAGGGTCGTGGTGGCTGGTACAAGCTATAAGAGGGCATTATTGACGTGAACAAAACTTCACCCAGAAGTGGGTGAAGTTTTATTTAGTATTATATCACCATCAGACGCGCGAAGAATCCGACACCCAAACCGTCTTTCAACTTCCCCGCTTGCGTTACATACATATAAATTACCGTACCTACATAATATTCAAGGTGGTGTAAACGGCATAACAACAGGGAAATAAGAAAACTGAATGATTTGCAAAAGCAATTTGCTCACAAATTTATGATACAATGCATACTAACTTATTATTATTGGTACAAAGATTGAATAACACACAATACAGATTAGGAATATGTAGATCAGTTGACAAAGGCGGTAGCCACGATGAAACAACCGACACTGGTACGAGTCCTGTCAGATCGAAGGAATTTTTCCATGTATTGTTCGATCTTTATATTACTAATTATAACAAACTAGTGGAGAAATTTCACAAAAATAAATATTCATATATGATATTCATATCATAGTAGTGAAACTGACATTCAATAAAAACTTAAAAATTACAATTATTAGAGCAACATCTCTAGTCAGTCGCATTATGAATGCAAAAAGGTAATAATAGATGAATGATTGAATTTTTTTTATTACGAGGACACAGAGAAACTCATACAACAAGTACAATAAACACATACACAAGTTCCCATACATAAACGCATTTATACACCCGTGGATACCCCCACATCCAAGCATGCACACCAACATATGCAAACACATCCATTTATGTACAAACATTTATTTTTTTATTTATTTTTATCTTAGAGGGTACAAACAGCTTAAGTGCTATTACAATAGAAATTATATTAATAGTAGAAAAGCAAATAGTTCCCTACTGATAAATATTTAAGTAATAAAAATTGACACATTGAAAAACTCAGTACAAAAAATACATAAATACAATTCATTCTACTACAAACAAATACATAATAATATACAAATACATGTTATACAAACAAATTTATATTTATATTTAATAGTACTTGCTACCACTGCTACTTGCACAACTTAAATGTTAAAAAACGAACGCGACAATATATTCCTTGCGGACGCACTGCTAGTATTAAAAAGATCAAGATCAAAAAGGGTTGAAATTTTGTTAAAGTAGCTGCTTGCACGCCAAATAAATGAATTTTGTTTATAATTAGTTAGTGCGACAGGCAAGTGAATTGTAGTGATAGTACAGTCCGCGAGGCCTAAGCTGAGCTTTGCATTTGTGTGAGTGCACATAGATAGTGTAGGTGTGATGTCGGCCTAGAGGGCGACGCGTCCTTTGCTAGGTTTAAATCGGTTTAAACTGCTTTTTGTCAATTGGCCTGATGCGCGGTGCATCCCTCGCGCGACGCAACTCCGCCGCGCACCTTTCACACTTCACCTCTTGTACTGGTAGCAGCGTGACGTGTTTAATTCTTAATATTTTGTTTTTGTGTTCGATTTTTTAGTGAAATGGCTGCCAACACAAATAACCGAAAACCTTTAAATAGCCAAGTAAAGGAAATTTTGTGTAATTGAAATAGTTATTTTAAAGATATGAACGACAACGACATGTCAAGTGTCACTACATCAGCCCAATTGGTAGCGACATCGACGGGAATTCCGCTGTCCACTGTCAAAAGAGTTTTATTGGAAGGTAAACGTCTTTTGGAAGACGGAAGCAAATTTAAATCTCCGAAAGAGACCAGATGCAGGAAAAATTTCATTATCATTGATGATTTTGATAAAGCGGTAATACGAAGAACTATTCACAACTTTCACATTACTGGTAAAGAGGTGCCAACTATGAAACGAATACATGAAAAGTTGAAGAGAGAAATAAACTATCCAGGTTCAATTTGGTCATTGCGTAAAGAAGTGTCTCTTTTAGGATTTAAATTGAAAAGAACAGAAGATAATAGAAAAGTTCTAATGGAAAAAGATGAGATACGTTATCTACGTATACATTTTTTGATTAAAATTTCCGAATATCGCATTCAGGGCCGGCTAGTCGTTTATACCGACGAAACATACATAGACACGACTCACACTTCTTCAAAATCTTATTCAGATGGCAGCACTTCTGGTTTGAAGAAACCAATTTCTAAAGGAA